GTTTTGTTTTGTTTTAACATTCGTTTGTATCCGGTACAACATCGGCGGAGGCGCAGCTGTAACGCGCGCGTAAACTATAAAAAAAATCACGTCGCCTCCGTGATTTTTCGCGAAACAATTCGCCGTTTTGAAAACTATGGATACACGCCGTGCGCGTGACGAGAACGCGAGAAACGCCGGTGCGTGTATCATTTTAGAATATCTCGGTGTTATATGCGCGAACGAAAACCGTCCGACGCGAAAATTCCAACGGGACGCTTTACAACTATCGTAAAACTGTTAGGACACGCCGCTCCAGAAATCGAGGGCGTGAAAATGAAAAAAAAAAAGAAGAGAAGGAAGATTACACACGTGTCGTTTTATATATTTTCTCTCTCGTCATCGAAGTTGTCCGCGCGTAACGCGCGCCGGAATTTTTCGAAAACAAATCGCGACAAAAGACCGCGCTTGTGAGAGATAAAAATTGATTAACATAAAAAAATCAATTAACGAATCTCCGTTTTCGGGGAGATTAATAAATAATAGAAACGCGATCGTGTGTGACGTTCCGCGAACGGAACGTACATTGTTTAAAATCGCATTAAAGGTGTTCTCACGAAACCGAGCTATTTGCTATACGTACGTGTGTGTGTGCGGTCATTGCTCCGGGAAAAATCCCCGAATTACACATCCGCGAGGTATTAAAACCCGACGATCGAAATAATTTCTCTCAATGTGTTTCGCTCGACTCGGGGAATGTCGTTAATTCAGCGATCAGCCAGTCTAATACGTACGTTTTCTCCGACAAGATAAGCGCGTTTGGTCTGCAAATTAAGCCAAGGGAACGTAGCTGTGCATAATCGCTAATCGCCCTCTCCCCCGTCCCCCATAATGCACGGCTATTGGATAATAAATTAATATACGAACGGTATTCCGGATCGCGTGGAGAGATGCACTTTTACGCGCGCATCGAGAATTCAAAAGCATCTCGAGGATGCAGAGAGAGAAAGAGAGAGAGGCAGAGAGAGAGAGAGGCGGAGTGGTCGGCGAACAAAGTTGCGAAGCCCGCGATGATGATGGCGGTGGCGCAGGGTTGGCGCGGGATCTCCGTGTGGTGGTTGTGTGACGCGCGGCGATGTGCCGGTGCACATCGACGGGGGGATCAATGAACAAGTTCAATAACCTTAAATCCACTTGACGGAGGCGAAACTACCCATCGGGATACGACTGACTGCGTCGCTCTCTCTTCAACAACCAAAATAGATATTCATTTTACCAAGAGTGCTATTTTCCCAGTCCCAGACACAAATCCAATATCGTTTGATTTAAGTGATCTCGCCAAGGGTCAAAGACCCTTCCCTCTTCCCGCGCTTACATAATTTCTCGCGCTCCGCGAGACTTTAATCCGCGCTCTTCGTGTCGATATATTAGAAAACGTCCCAATTATTGCGACGATTTATCTCGTTTATTATCCTCTTCCGGTCTTGCGCCGACGCGCGTCCACTCTGTCCGCGCGCGATCGTCGGTTGAAACACACACGTAAAACCGGGATTGATAAGAACGTGATAAGATACGGAAAGCGCGTGTATAATTTTGTATTTTCCGTAACTCAAGTTCAAATCTATATCTTTTGACGTAGCGATAAAAGCGTTTAAACGTTGAACGTGTTAAATACCTATCGGATAACGCGACGCGATCTTATTAGATACGTGTCGAGTATTACTTCACGTCTCCGTTTCTCTCGGAGAAACAAGAGAAGCGGAGTCGGATCCGAACTTCGGAATCTCTTGAGCGCGAAACAACAAACGAGAGAACGTGTGTTTTGAAGACACGCCAGAACTTGGGGCGCGACAGCTGAGATACACCACTTCTCTCTCTCTTTCTCCCCTGAGAAGAGGATCATGCATACTTTACTCGGTCTAATAGTTTTGGCACCGCGAGATAGAGTTCCGCGTAAATCATGGCGTAAAACATCGTATCCCCCTTAAGAACCGACCGTCGTCGTGTTCGTCGTGTTCGGCGTAACAATGAGCGACGACGCGAATATAGCGATCCTAAAACAAGGAGAACCGCGTATAATGGGGGGGAACGCGATTTTCACAGCGACGCGACGACAGATTAACTGCGCAAACTGCGCAAACCGGGCGCGATGTTTGCTCATTTCCCGCATCGCAACCGCAATTGTATTTTACGGCAGCTGTGCCGTTTTTGTCTCTTTGTTTGCCAAATCAATCGTTTTATCGCTCTTAAACGTGTACAACGTCACTAACGAGCGGCAATCGCCGCGATTTTCGGCGAAATTTTTCTCCTTCCAAAACTCTCGCGCGGAAATTTAATTTCCGCGCGATTATTTCGCTATCGACGCAAATTGTTGCGCGATATAATTAAAATTAAACCTGCAATTATGCAGGTTGCGTTATCTGTAAAAGTAAGGTTTTACGTGGAAGAAACTCACCTTGAGTTCGCGCTCCGATTTACCACCACTCGATCGGGATCCACAAAATTTACTACCGAGTTGAATTTAATTTTCTCTGCGCGCGCGAATACGCAACCCGACTTTTTCGGGTCCCGCTCACGTGCGCGAGCACACGAATTCCGAAATTTGCGGACGAACCGAATTTGAAAAAAACCGCTATTTGTTTGTTTGTTTGTTTTTTTTTTTTTAATCACAGTCTCCGCAAATACCCACAAACCGGGTTTTCTCTCAATCAAGAATTTTTCGGCACGATCGCGACAAGCATCGCTCGCGGACTGAATATTCTCACGGGGTAGCATCGAGTGGAGGTGAAGCTACGGGCGCTGGAGAGGGTAAATGGGGGCAAGAGGGGGTTGAGAGAGAATGCGCGCGGATAGGAGAGACACCGGCGCGGGTGGTGCGCGAAAGGGGGTGTGTAAGAGGCTGCGAGAGAGGAGAGAATGGTCGATGGATGTTATTGGCGCGAGTCGGTTAAAAAAAAAAAGTTGCGTTTCGCACAGACTATCGCTAATAAAAATATTCAACTTTTTTAACGAATTTTTCGAGAAACAATAGCCTCGAGTGAAAAGAATTATTATATCCCTTCTCCTCTTTTGACCGATCTCAAAAATCTCTCTCTGCGCACATTCTTCTCAAACAAAACCGACGATAAAAGTTTCCCGAATTTTTCATTTCTCGAAACTCGACAATTTTTTTTTTTTACGAGAACGTTTCGGCAATAAGGCGAGACGCGCACAATTTGAATCCGAGATTTTTACCTTCTTCAAGTTAAATACAAAAAAAAAACAGTTGAATTTTCTTTTTTTTGTTTTTTTCAATGGAAAAAGTTTGCGCACATTGTTGAGAAAACGCGCGTCGTTGTTTTTTTTTTACGCAAATCGATCGAGGAAATGAATAGTTTTGCGATAAAGCGAGAATTAGTTTGCAAAAAAAAAAAAAAAAGAAGCAAGCGATAAGAGCGTTGAACATTACTTACCGGACGAACGTCAAACGTTCGCGCACGCATAATCCCGAGACGAAAACTGGGCCAGTATGGAAATAAGGAGAGAGAACCGCTTCGGTGTGATCCAACGTTACACACGCCTCGACGTTGACGTCGCGAAAAAAATCCTCCGACGGTTTCAGGCCTCGTTTGCTGATTCTCGCTCTCGGCGCTGTGCGCGCAAGAGAGAGTTTTCGCTTCCCCGACCATTCAACCGTCATCCTCCGTTAACACGACGGGATTTCGGAGGGGCGCTAAAAGTTCGCGTTACAACGATGATAAGCGCGCGACCTACATCACAGAGAAAGAGAGAGAGAGAGAGAGAGAGAGACTGTAACTCGATTTTTTCCTTCGAATATCTTCGCGCGCTTCTACTCTCTTTTTTCCGGGCGTACGACCGATTTTTCTTTGCCACGGGCATTTTTCACGATAATTTGCCGTTATTCGCGCCCGAGTGTGTGAGAGATTGCCCGAACGGTGTGTTAAAGTTACTTCACCGCTGCATCGATCATGGATCTTCGGCGCGAGAAATAAAGAGCGCGTGCGCTTCCGCGCATTTCGTGCAACAAAGTTGTTTGTTTTAAGCATCGACGTGTTTGTGTGTGAGCATAAAATAATCGCGGCGTTTATTCCAAGTTCGATCGAGGCCGAAATATAATACTTCGATACCGGTCTCGCGGTCTCGTTGAAATTACGCTCTAATCGGGAATATTTCACAAGGCATCCCCGGCGTATCTGGAATTATTCAATATCCGCGGGAATCCTTTGAAGCTTTTTCGCATCAAACGCACAGTTGGTTGCCCCTTTAAAGATTCTCTCTCTCTCTCGTTCGTTCGATCTTTATTCCCCGCTGCGTCGTCGCGGCGACGTCTATCATTTTCCGCGGGGATAATTTTTTTTTTTTTTTTTTTCACAAGCGTGCCCCCAATGACCGCGTCATTGAAAAAGAGATATTTCCCCAACCGTAGAAATGGTGAATATTTCGCGGAAACCGTCTCGATTATGGAATAAATTAAGAGCGAGTACATCGTCAGTAATAGCTTCTATTTGCATTTAGAGATGAGATTGCTGTCGCGCGCGCGCGCGCGCACTCGAGAAAGAGTATAACGGGGGTTTTCTCGAGGATTTCGGTCGAGAGGAGAACGACGACTCTCTCGGAACACATTTTCGAGAGCGTGTTCTGCAACAAACCAAGACAAAGTATACATAGACTCATATTTTAAATTAAATTCCATTGTAAAATTTACTCGGAGAAAATGAGATGTTAATTTGTTATAAAAATACATATAACGAAAACTGTATTTAATATTATTTTAAAACAAAATTGTATCACGTTTTCGCGCGCGAACGAGTTTCAGTAATATTTAATATCTTTGTTAAAAGCGCGTTGATTGAATTTCAAATTATTTGCGAAGCGAAACGCGTCTCTCTTTGAACTTGAACGCGAAGTTAGTTAAGAGAGACATCGAGATTCATACATTAATCGATACGGAGCAACACCTATTTGCGCGTGCGAGTAGAATAACCAATAATATTCAATTCTGAGAGCGAATTTGACGAACATATATATCGACGCGAGCGAATAAACACGCTGTTGTGTGTCGCATGCAACGTATTCCCGAAGATGAACCGACCACATCCACGCGAGTGTCTAATAATACGCAAATGCGAGGGAAGTGAGTAAATCAGAGCGTGAATAATTTCAACACATGATGAAATCTAACGCGAGAGAGAGAGAGAGAGAGAGTGAGAGAGTGCTTGTGCAATTGCCACATTTCCATTTCTGAGCAATTGCGACACGTGCCTCGACTTGGCGGATCATAAGAGACGACGATGATTCCTAGATCGATTCGGACGTTGGAAGAACGGGACGAGGACGAGAATGACAACACCTGTTGTCACCGGGCGACCTTTTGCAACCCGGTCCTGCGAGAGATTATCGTGACCGACGCGATTTCCACGTGTTACGAGCTTCGAGTGACGTGGGCGGATCTTTTCTGGCTCGCGACCGTGACCGGCATGACCCTGCTGGCCTGGACCGTTTTGTATTTCCTGCTGGGCGACCCGGTTATGCCCGGCGGCGCCGTCTTCGGCTTCTTTATCCTCGTCGTGTCCTCCTACGCGCTCGGCTGGTCCCTCACGTACATTCCGCGTCTGCATATCCCGCCCATCTTCGGCATGTTACTCGCCGGTATAATAATGCGCAACACCGACGTCTACAACATACAAGACCAGCTCGGATCGGACTCGGCCTCGATGATCCGGATCTTCTGCGTGACCTTTATCATGGTGCGTGCCGGATTGCAACTGACCACGACCGTTCTGCGGGCGCATCCGGCGTTCGTGATGATCCTCGCCATCGTTCCGTGCACCGTCGAGATGCTGACGGTCACCGTGTCGTGCAGATATCTCCTCGGCTATCCGTGGGACTGGTCTTTCATGACTGGGTTAGTTAAATCGCTTGTTTGAACAGAAAACAACACAAATTGTTTCTAAAAAAACACTTTCGTGAAATCGTTTGTGTTGTTGATTAATTAAACAGTCTGTAAATATCTTCGCAACAATTTGCTTCAAAGGACGATCGTTGCGTGCATGTCCCCCGTAGTGACGGTCGGGTGCATGCTCATCCTGGCCGAGAGCGGTTACGGAGAAGACAAGGAGTTAACCAGCTTGTTGAGCACGGCTACGTGCATCGATACCGTTCACGTCGTGTCTCTGTTCGCCATCTGCGTCTCGGTTGTTTTTAGCAACGGTATAACAGAAAGCGTAAGATAATTTCGAAGCACGACTCTCTCTATACGGAGCATATCCTTTCCGTATATATATACAACGAAAACAATTTTCTATTTTAAGTTTTCTATTCAATTTTCTTCTATTTATTTTCTACTGAAATTTTCCTCAACCGCGCGTTCGCGCACGAAAATATACTTGAGATTTTTAAAAAATAATAATTTCTTCATTAATAGATTTCCTACTTTTTAATTAAAAAAATGTTTGTTAAAGACTGAGACGAGGAGCAACGTTTTATATCGGTTCGCGTTTCAACCTCGGAGAGAGAGAATGATAAATAATTTTCCTAGTTGCGCGAGAACACACACACACACACGTACGATGTGTGTGTATTTATATCTTTACGAGGTGAAAACTTGCTACATTCTATGGATCGCGGTTTAAATATTTCACAGTATTCATGATTAATACATTAGCGGTTTGTGACACCGCAACCCGAGCGAGACCAGCTACGTACAAAAAAACAAAAAAAAAAAAAACACCATACAAAAAGCCTTTCCATAAAGAGAGCCATATATCTTCCCAGATGACGGGAGAACAGAATGGTGGTCCTACGTCCCCGGCGGGATTCGAGATTTCCTCCTGGGACTTATAGCGGGAATAATCTTGGGCTTCGCCCTGGCCTTTTTCCCACATCGCAATCACGTAGGTACTTTATTCATTTCCTTCGCGTTTTTCCCCCAAAAAAAACAAGCTCGCGGAAATTCGGGTCACGTATCGCGAAACGAGCACGTTCGCGTAATCTAAACTAACAAGAGCGGACTTATTAACGCCCTTTCGCGATGTTTTATTAATGCGCGCAGGTATCGTCTTTCTTTCTTTCGCGCCGCGGGAATACCGGAGCAAAGTTTGCGGAAACACGAGCGCGTCGGCTTTTATTACAATCTTTCTTTTTTGTTTGTTTTATTCGCGTGCGATCGATGCGATAAAACGCTGGCGTATAAAATTTCTGACAGTATAAATACCGTTACCTTCCCCCTTTCCCTCCCCGTTCCCGTCTCTCTTTGACTGGCGAATTTTCTTTCTCTCCCCCGATCGGACAGAAACACGCAACGTCGTATCGCATCGGCGGTTTGGCTCTTGCATCTTTAACGTGCACCACAGCGGCGTCGAGAATGGCAATCACGGGCGGAGGGTATCTCGCCACCATTATACTGTCGTACATAGCCGTTCGTGGCTGGCGAATTTTGACGGTTTCGTACGACGTAAGCTAATCAATATTCGAACACAAACTGCTAATTCGCGCTAATTTATTTGTCCTCGTCGGATGGACGAATATAATTTTTTGAACAAAATTCCAAGACTCGCAATCGCGTACAGAAGTATTTGCGTAAATGTTTTTCTTTCTGTTTCAGACAACACCGTTTCACAAGACGTTTTACTTTCTGTGGCACGTAGTGCAGCCGATTTTGGGAGGTGTGATCGGCGCAAATTGCGACTTTCGAAATTGGGCCGCGTCGAGATTCGGACTTTACCTCGCCTGTGTACTCGCGGCAATATCAGTAAATTAATTGTAGATAACAGCAACGCGATTTTCGCTCGGAGATATTTATAATATAATAATATAATTTTTTTCTCAACAATTTCTCTTTCTCTCAAAGAGAATACAAGTTTCTCGGCGATATATCTGATTTTTTTTTTTTTATTTGTCGTCGAAATAAATTAATTAAATGTAATTAATTAAATGTATTAAGCGAATTTCGAAATCCAGGTGCGCGGCGCGGCCACCTTTTTGACGACAGTCAGAACGTCCTTCACGTGGAAGGAGCGACTGTTCGTTGCGATAGCTTGGATGCCAAAGGGAAGCCTACAGGTAAAAAAACACGCATTGTGTCTTTCTCGCGTTAATTTTTCGGCCGCTAAAATATCAATCAATCTCTACGTAATAAACGTTGTGAAAAAAAAAGGCGGCGTTAGCGCCGATAGCGTTCGAGCGCGCAAGCAAGGAAGACGACCCGGCGAAAATCGAATTAGCCCTCGACGTGGTGAGGTTGTCCATAATCGTCATAGTGATCCTCGCCCCGCTCGGCGCGTTCGCCATGATGACCAGCGGACCTCTTCTGCTGAACAAGATCAGCATCGAGGAGTACAAGAGGGATCGTTTGTTGAGCTGGGCGCCCGTCGTCGCTCCACAGTTCCGACGAAACAGAAAATCGGAAAGTTCAACCGACGAGATTCTCTCGACGGAATCGGTTTTGTAGACGCGTTTCTCAATCGCGCGATCGCTTCGTTTCCCGCCAATAAAATGAATCTCACAGTGAAATACAAATAATAAACAAATGTTACTTTTTACAATAAAATTCTACACACAGCGAGAGATTTTTCGCCACGTTCACAAATTGTTGGATCCTTTTTATTTATTGCGCCTCATCCTTGTCACAGTTTTTCGCAAGCAGATATACGCGCGCGGCGATAGCGTCGCGATGCGGAAATGACTGGTCGCTCAACACACTTAGGCGAGTGTAAACAAGCGCATCGGAGTGTGCGAAATCGACGACGAGAGAGACGGCTAAATGACGGCGAGACGACGACGTCGTCGTTGCCGCAACGCATATATATATATATATATATGTATATATATATATATTACACGGTGGGGATCGTATTCTTGTGTTTCTGCATTTACAGCGCGAGAGCGAGTTGTTTGGTGTCTCCGATCATTATTGGCAAAACTGAAACTGGGGCAGCGGTTCGTTTTACTCAGGCGACGATGATACGAACATTGTGCTTATTGTTCGTAAATAGAATCGAACGACGACGACGACGAGGAGGCGCGTGGCGCCGCGATAAGGAGGCACGCGATGACGCTTTTCCGCGCGCGCGGCACGTGCTCTCTGCTACCCAGCATCCCAGTGCGCGTCTTGCGATTTCTCTCTCTCGCCGACTATGCAACAACACACACCCGGTTGACTGCACCGATAGAGTCGTTTATTCGAACTCGATCGCGATTTGCGTGTGCCGACCGAACGACTTCGCCACACACACACCGAAAAAATTGTATTCTTGTTTTGAGGATATCCCACTTACTTTAAGTATATTTTATACTAAAATAGGCGCCAAGAAGAGTTTCTTATTTCAAGAGGAAAATCCTCTAAATAGTAATATTGATAAGAATATATACTGATTAGAATATAAAAAGCCTCTATAGAAAAACATATATATCTCACTATCGAAAAAGACTATATTCTTAAATAAAGAATATATTCTTAATTTCAGAAGAATATCATCTAAAATCTTTAAGAAGATTTTTTAAGTATAAAATCTTCTACTTACAAGAATATAATTTTTTCGGTGCACACACACACGATCCAATACCGATACTTCGACTCTCTCTTTCTCTCTCTCTCTTTTTCTCTTTATACAAAATTTGGGCAAAATATAGGCCAAGCGAAATTGATGAGATTTGAATTTCACGCGATTGTGAAGTTTGTTTTTACCAGAGAACGAAAAGAACTTTATATTCTGATATTATTTTACGTATAATATAATATATAACACGCTATATTATGTAGTATATTATTTAAGAACTTAAACTGTTGTTATAAAAATTGTAAAAAAATTCTTAAGCAAAAATCTCCGGACAAAAAATACAAAAATACGGAATAAATTTTGTTCAAGCAGATAAATGAAAAATTGCCTGGTTTTACTTAAATTTGCTATTACCGTGTTGTAAATTTACCTAATAAAAATCGATTAATATTTTCTTATAATTTTATGCACTGTAATATGTAATATAATTTTTTCTACTATCCCGATGATCTACGCTGCCGCGAGAAATCACAAAATGGCGGCGTTCGAACGTCGATCTTCGCTGTACCAATGTCAGACAAAAGTAATTGATATAATTTATTATGTAACGAGATATATACGTACTTGGTGAGACGATTGCACACGTAAGACGGATTTTCGGCGATGAAAAAGTCGATCTGAAAACTCGATGACGAATTGCGGCAGATCACGGCGAATCATCTCAGTTCCGGATCGTCGATATCGAAATCGCGCGAACGAATATGCGGAATATAAACGTATATTATCACTCGCGTGCAACGATTGTTTTACACATCACAACGAACAACACACGTCACCGCAATAAACACTAACGATCGATGATTCGCGCCGAGTTTAACTTTCGAACGATAACTAACAACGGAGAAGCGCGAAAAGATTCGAAGATCTTCCGTCCCTCTTTGCGTCATGCTCGTGACTGTCGCGATTCGAGTTCTAATCGAGGTGCGATATTTCGATTCTCGAAGTATCGTATCGACGACCGCAGCGGACCAATCACGCGTCGCGAGAATCGAAGTCGATTTTAGAGTTAAGTTGCACCCTTGCGCGTAATACACGGGAAAACGTATTTGCGTTAACCGAAAAGAAAAGCCCGAAAAAGCAGTCATCGCACAATTTTTGTTCCTCGCAAAATTTTCGCCTGCTTGATTTCAGCGCCGTACACTCACAAGAATAAAAACTACGAAATACTGTCCATTCTCAAACGATATAAAAATGCAATGTTTAAATTTGTGCTACCGCGACTTTCACTGTCAATAAATCATTTACAATTAGTACGAACAACGAAAAGAACTGAGAACAGTCAGAACCGTATGAAATTCTATAAAAGATTTTTCGCTCTCTACGACAGCGCTATGTCCAGAGGTGATGCACATTGGAACTACGCAACTAATGTCACCGCGACATGTCGGTACGCTATGTCCACAGCGTGCGGTTCTATTCTGTGCTATGTGCACTAATCCACATAGTCATCTTCTTCAGGCGTGTGAGTATATTCGCGAGCGTGGATTTGATTTCTTTTGAAATTTAAAATGATCGGCCTCGTGATGAGAAGATACGAAAGGAGAACAGATAAGAATAAAAAAAAAAAAACATTGCAACTTTCCACACAACATAAATGTGATATACAAGAAAAGATGTGACAGTCAAATAAATAATATTATTTTAGCGAGCAGCATCAGAATTCGTGGAGTGTATCATCTCCTTTTACATCATCATTTGCTGCTTTTTGCTTTATA